AATGCCACTGCATGGCTTTAGCAAAAGTGCGCATGAAAAAATTACGTAACTAACGCATGTATTTTTTACTTTGCGTGACAGCTTAACTTTGATTTGTGCTTTCCGTATAAATTGTGTATGCATAAATGGCGTACCCAATTGTTCGCAAAAAAATGTAGGAAAGGTCCAAAGTTTGTATGGAAGAAGTACGTATGCTTGAGCTTCAAGGCAAATGCCCGTATAGTATAAATTACTATGTAAAGACCTCACATCGCCAAAAGTCTGTCATGACAAAAGTTCTTATGAAAAAATTCGCGGGCGCAAAATGTGCACGCAATTGTTTTTGCGGAAAAGTTCGTGTGCACTAAGCACATGCGTAATTGCCCGTAAGCAATTGTACGTATGAAAGGGTTCGCAACGAATGAAGTTTGCTTCACAAAACCACACAGAAAAAGGTCGTATGCATTGATCTTCCTCCATGGGAAGTGTTCAAGGAAGGTCGACCGCCTGGGCATTGAATCATTTACCGCCAGCGCTCAGATTTCGCTGAACTTGGGTCTCCGCGGAGGATCCCAGACGTGGAGTTCGAACGCGCATTTTTCAGCTCTATTTGGCGCACAACGTAAAAGTAATAGCCTCGGGCAATGTTGGACCAGGGGCAAGCAAGGCCGTAATCAGAGCGGGCGCTTCAAAGTGGATGCAGTGGGCGCATCTTTCCCCATGAAATCTGCTTGACTGCATGCAAGTGATCTTTTCAGGGCGTCACTCGTGCGTCTGCCCCCGGACTCCACAAGCGAGCTGACTGTTGTCGCGGTCGTCAGCCAGCGTTAGTGGCGCGCTCAGGGGATGTCAGGAGGGGTGCAGACAGAGGCGTCGTGAGAATAAGGGGTCCCGGAGGGACACAACAAACACAACAGGTGATCTGCGGTAGTAATGTTTATGAGGCTGCTTTTTAACCTCTGGTCCGTCTTATTTCAGGGGCATTTTGCACTAATCCCATCGATTCGGATGCATTTGCTGGTTACTGAAGGGCGTTTAATTTTGCAGCATGAAGAGCTCAACTCTGCAAGCTAGCTTGAAGCCTAAAATCTAGTCATACCACTTTGATTAACCTATGCAGTCGTCGCTGTCCACCGTCATCTTCTATACCCCTTCCCTTCTGTTCTCGGGTGACGCGGTGTGGTGGCCCCTCAGTGGCCATTCATCAGATGCCCGGCACCCAGGATTGGGCTTTGCACTCGAACTTGCATCACACATCTGAATACACTCTTTTGCGTACGTACTTTTTCAGACGAACCTTGTCCCAGAGAGGCATTCATGGACCCACGAACTTTTGGGTGCGTAGATCCGTCATACGAACTTCATCTCTGACGGACATTCGAGCACGAACAACCACGGACGGATTTGGTGTCACACCAACTTTTGCGCGTGCGAACATTTCTCCGATGAACAATTTACCATGCACACATTTTACACTACGAACTCTTGACGTAGCAAACTTCACACTCTTCGCACTTGTTCCTGACAAACTAAAGGCGCACGAACTTTCCTTGTGATTGGAGATTTACGACGCAAGCTGCTGCTGAGGCTATATGACGCTGCTTGCCTCTCACCCTGGCAGGAAGGGCGAGCGCCGCAGGGGATTGAACCCCGTATCTCTGGTTTCCCAGACGCGCAGCGGTCCACACAGGTGCGTTAACCACTGCACTATCAGCACCTGCGTATGAGCAGGTGGGGTTATAGTGGTCCTATGACCACTTTCCATACGAAATTTTTCTTTACGTAACTTTGTCCGCAGCTTCCGCCAGAACTCTGCAGAAAATGGCTTTAACGTGAACGCTGAGGGAAAGGTGATGTTGACATAGAGTCGATGGTTTTGGAACGCGCGATCATTCATTGTTGGTCTGCCAAAGATTCAGATGCATAAATACGTTTAAACGTTGTTAGGCCCTTGTAGAACCTGAATCCCTGACTTAAAAGCCACGCGTGTCTCCGTTCTCTCCGCTGAACGCAAGAAACACTGTTGGCTATGCCAACATACTTTATATTGCCTATTCTTACCTCGGTCCCACCTTGCAACTAGCAGCCTCCTGCTCTGGCCTTTTACATTGCCGAAAACGCGTGATTTTAGTTGTAGTTTATAGCCGCCTCGATCATTTAAGTTTCACCGATATCTTGATATCATCGTAGCACCGACTTTCGCTCTGTCCAACGCGTCCATGGTGCCGCCACAGGTAGTCCCTTACCAGATCGGTGCCAAGGTCCAAGGTCAGCCTGGAAAGCGCTGACACTCGGCGGTATATTATCCTTCCGGCGAAATCCAACAGACTCAGCGGATCAGCGTCGCGAAATAAGCCCATTAAACGGACACCTGTCGCGAGACGGGCTCTGGCAGCCCTCCAGTGGATCTGAGAAGCTGCATGCCGCTGACCCGGCGTCTCGGTGCACTTCGCGCACAAAGACGACCGCGGATGCGTAACGGTGTGTCTTGCATTCAGCTGTGACTGAAAGGCGCAGTAACACAAGCGGAGCACCGCCGAAACGGCGTTAAGAGCAGCCTTACTCATCTGTAGCGCGGTAATACAGCAGCGTTCCAGCCACCACTCACAATGGACTGGGTGACGGAGCGGTTTTTTCTCCTTTCAGTGGGGTAGATGCTTAGCAGGGAACAATGAGCCAAAGGCCTATTCGACTTTTCAATGGTCACTCAGACAACCATTAGCTCCAAAAGGTATGAACACGTGACGCAGACGAGGTTTAAGTTAACTGCCCGGCACACGTGCCTTGGGTCGCTGCCAAAGGACCACAAGCCTTCCATTCGTCAGCCGATAATCCTGCGGATGCACGGCGGCGCCGCCTTGCCTACATCAGGCACACCATCCTGACGTAAGTCTCGTCCTGATGCAGCGGCCGGGAGTTCGCGACCACGCTCTTTGCGCGGATCTGGCCGGTCCCAAACCGTTCTTTCGGGCTGGCTGCCCGAGGCCGCCGGCCAGCGCCACTCCCACCGGGCGCGCCGCGCTGAGCGTGCGAACTGGGGGGTGGATGCACGCTCGCCAGAGATGCGGTACGGCACCGCCACGTGCAGTGCCGCTCCAGACCGCGACAGAGGCGCAGCGCGCTGGCGATGCCGATCGGGCGCCCGCCGCGTGTTCTGTGACGGGGGCATTGTGCGCCCTGGACGTATCGCCACCGGTATGCGAGGCGAGCTGACAGTGGAGATGGCTCGTGAGCAGCCCCGGCGCCCGTCTTTATGCTGGAGGTCGACCCTCCGCGGACGGATGGCGGCGTTTGTGGGATCCGATGAATTTATTGACGCCGATAAACCCACTCTGTACGGGTGGCGCTGTCTATGCATGCTGAACAAGCTAAAGCGGCCATCTAAGGCCATCAAAAAGGAATACGAGCACGTTATATGTAATTTTAGGGACGTTTGGAGACGTTACCATACGAGGCCAGGCCTGATCATCGGGATAGCTATCAACTGGTCGAGAATGGTTTGAGAGGTTTCACTTTTGGAGGGGTTCGAGGTCATCATAAGTTGATAAAAGTCCATCCAAGATCATAAAAATTATCAGCATCGCAGTCTGCGCGGTTTTCTAAAAGAGAAGTTCTCTTATGTTGGCGATAATTTTAAGCTCAAAGGATTACAAATATTTCATTCACGACAGCATAAATATTAACCCACGCTCTAGAAAAATGACGTAAAATGGATTCGTTAACAGTCTGGATACGACAAGCCAGCAAAAATTGGTTTACACCGCTATATTTCATAATCAAGGGTAGTACGAGATAACTGACGCAGGACGTGCCTGCCCTGATAATACGCCCGACCTGACAGCTGAGGAATCAGCAGAGACTGCCAATGCTGAAGACCAGCATCACCGGAGCAGCTCCACCGCACCGCATTGCTAGTTACGTGTATGTTTTAAGGAAAAGGCACACCACATAAGCTTTCAAGTGGTTTCCGAGGCCAGGTGCAGTGCATTTCACACGGGGTCTTTTTTGCACTATTTGCCGAGCAGTATAACGTTTATTTTTGTGAAATTGACGCCGCAGTTGAAACGTTGTCATAATTCCAGCGCCATCGCTTATAATCCTAGTGTCACCAGGTGTCTATAATCCTGATATCAACAGGTGCTTATAATCCTAGAGCGACCAGCTACTCAGAAGCCTTTTATCACCGTGACCCCGTATTCTGATACTAGCGCCCGGAGGCCCACGATAACCCCAAAAACTTTGCCAAAATACCTCATCGTAAATAGCGAGCAGAACTTAACACGACATATGTGCCAGGAAGATAAGCCGCAACGTCTCACGTATTTCGCTCAAACGCAGCTTTTGGGCGTGCTGACGCGCGCAATAAGACATCCAGGCCAGGGGCGGATGATGATATTTGGATTTTTCGGGCGTGCCAACTACAGCGGTCATTATGCGCCTACTAAGTGTCACACATCCCTAATGTATTTGGTGCGTGCGAGTGTCGCACGTTTAGCGCGCTGATCCACCGCGAATGAGTTAGGCACATTAGAGCCCGTGTCTTACACTGACTGAACGGGTGAGTCATGATTTCAAAGTTAACAGGTTCTACATAATTGCAAACTTCCTGGGTATTACAGATTGGAATCTCGCCAATCGGGAGACAGAGACAGTCCCCGCAAAGCGTAAGGGTGAGAGGGGCGCCTACGTTCAGCTTCCAGACGACGACACTGGACGGGTATCGAGGGCAGCCGACAGTCGGTGGCCGCAGCCGCGAAGAGCAGTGCTTTAGAGATAGAGGGTGGGTGGATGGGGAGCGAGGATCGAGGCAAATCAGTACCAAACTGCGATGTACTGTATTACGACGCACAGATGCCGTGCAGCACTCTCCACGTCACTGGGCAACCGTCCCACGGTTAGCATTCTGCTGACGGGAAATGCTACCTCCAGGATAATTTGACACTCTTCTTCACCGATCGAAAGGTCTTTCACACGTTCCTGCCAGATAGGCTAGCTCCCTGACCCTGCAGCAAACACGCCTCTGCTAAAATACTTTGTATTCACTCCCTTATCGCAGTTCGCTTTCGTCTCGCAATGTTCGCAACCACGCCGCTTCGACGCCGGCCTCCACACCACCAGCACAATTTCACGTCACCCCCGCTGAGTGCCACGGCCCCGCGGGTCCGGACGGACGGGCCGACCCGCTGACCGGGCCAATTTCGACACAGGACACCTGACGAGACCGGACGGCCGATTTAGACAGCGCCCGCCGCCGGCGCTAGTACTCCTCGCCCATCTCGATGCGCATGCGGCGCTGAATGTTGCGCATGTCCCGCAGCACCTTCAGCTGGGCGCAGTGGATGGGCGCCGCGTGCTTGGAGCCGGTCTTCTTGGGCCGGCACTGACCGGCGGTGCGCGAGCGCGGCTGGAACGGACGCATCGGGAAGCTCTTCTGCATGGAGAAGGTGACGCCGCGGGGCCGCACGCTGTTGGGCTGCGGACGGATAGCGCACGTCAACCGCGACCGGCCGTGAGCGTCGGGGGGGGGGGGGAGGGGGGGGCAGGGCGACGTCAGCCCCCTCCCCTTCCGCTGAACAGGCAGGTGCATGATGGTACGGCGTGTCTCCAACGCATATTCAACAGAAGCTGAAGTCAAGTGGGTTCTGACTTGAAGGTCCGGTCACGTCCTCGGTGCTTGCACTGATGATCGCTAAGCGTGTCAATGTCTAGAGATAATGTATAGAGATATGCCAGTGTCCGAAGATGGCCTGTGCCCACAGTCGGCACGTGTGTCACCGTTTGCGATGGTAACGGCAGAACGTCCCACCAAACCCCGATTTACGGTCAATTAAAGTGTCTGGATAGTCCGTTTCTTTACACGCGGAGCTATCACTAACACCGCGTGAGCATACTTGGGCATGTAGCAGGGCGGCCCCCGTCGCGCCACAGTGTCCGATGCATCAGTCGAGACAGTCTGATGCTCCCAGGTGCAGGCTTGCCCGTGACCAGCTAACCCCTAACACAGCTGGCTCCAAAAACGCAAATATCACCAAACCATGCGGCTAGAGCTACTTCGATCCATAAAAATAGTGCATGCGGTGAGAAAAGAGAACTAGGACACCGGACCCGCTCACATGTTCACCTTACACGGCCATACTTCGTCTGAATGATGGACAGTTCAATCAACAGTACTTATTCGAACTAATTTGCGCCAGCTACTGAAATCGCGTGTGACGAGAACAAAGCGCGAATGACTGGTATTCCACTGCATATAGCCATTAACTACTGATGGCATCCGACACACACTTATCGATTGGACACACTTATCGATTGATAATAAAGGAATGGATTGGACCCGACTGAGTGCAACGGTTTCCAAAACGCATTGGTTTAGAATTTCTATGGAGTTAGCATTTTACCATTATCACGAGGGTTGAGCCGATTTTTTTGCTTGTAAAAAAATAACAAATGTCTTATCCCACATTGTGAAAGAGAAGCCATGTCTACATCCTCAACAGTTCAGAATGTTAATGTACCGGTTTGTATCAAAACCATACACATTATGGTTATTTGGTGTTAACCTCACTGTTGTTCTGGGGTAATGTTCGTGTTTTGATTGACGGGGTCGGACTGGAATCGGAATTCGGAAACAAGGCGGAATATTCAAATCGCAAACTAGGCGGAATATTTTATTCAAAGTTGATACGTTAAAACGGTCTGAATGCGGGCAATTCAATGCACGAATGGTTGTATTGTGTACCAAACACAGCTGTGTGCCCATGTCATACAGTGTTGTATTCTGCACAAGCGGTCAGTTTGTCGCGCTTGTAGCAGTCCGAGTCACGGACGCATCAGAGCAACACTGTCGAATGGAGCGAAGGCCATTCAACAGACTCTCCCGCCAAGCCACCGGGCGGCGGCAGATCAGACAGGCAGTGTCTCAGGAGCATTAAATCAAGCGAACGACATCCAACAGTCCTCTTACCTCCCCCCCCCCCCCCCTTACCCCCAAAGACTACTCTGCTCTTCATGGGCAGGTAACGGCTTCAATACGTACAAGCGGCATGTAACACGCGTCGCTAAAAAAAAAAATGTCGACCCGTCTCTTTTCCAGCCGGACATATAATTAGTGTACCTTCCACGCGGCCTGTCTGAGTGGTTGCCCGGGGAAGGCTCACCTGCACGCGCGTGTTGATCCTCAGGGGCCGGCCGGGGCGGGAGGTCAGGCCGCGGCCGCCGCGCGGCGCCGGCCGCCGACAGCGCGTGCTGCAGCCGTCCTGGCCGCCGCCGCCGCTGCTGCGCGACAGCTTCTTGATCTGCCGCAGCACGCGCCAGTCACAAATCACCGCACACTGAGCGTGTCCGGCGGACACCGGCGTATGCTGGACACACTCGCGGACGTGCACGGCTTCTTAGAGAGCACAGCTCTAATCGTCCATGAGAAAAGCATGGGATGAATCATTTTCCGGACGACACGCTGTACATGCACAAAGACTTGGAACAGGAACACACGATCACTGAAACCCCTGAATGTGCCCTTGTTCAGCTTGTGCTGTCGTGGAGCCGCGCGAAGGAAACCCAACAAACCCAGTGACGCACTATGTGTATGCCATGCAATAGGTGCGCCAGGCTGTATGCCTGCAGTGCTTGAAACGTGCAAACTGTTAGCACTGTGTGCAAAACGAGCCTCAAAATGCGCGCATTACGCGTGTAGTAGCAATTGTGGCTTTCGGTTACACTTTCACATAAAACTGAGCCACCTCATGTAAAATCTTGCATCACGAGCTGATACAGACCGAGACTATACCAGGGACCAGCTCCTACTCGATCACACCATTACGTCCAGCACCATCCTCGAAGTGTACCAAGCACAGTTATCACTGAGTGCACCATCACCCCAGTCCGGCGGGCGGCGGCCGCCACTGACCTGTTTGTAGAGCTTGAGCAGGCAGCAGACCTGACGCCGCCGCTCCTCCATCATCATCTCCAGGCGGCCGATCTGCTCCTCGAGCTCACAGCGGTCGACACTGCCGTCCGTGCGGCCCATGTCCGTCTCCAGCCGCTGGCAGACGCACTCGAGCCCGGCGAACTCCTCGGCCAGCTCCTCCAGCAGCTGCTTCAGGCTCCGCTTGGTGCGTCGCAGCGTGGCCGGGTTGCAGAGCATCTTCTGCACCTGCGCCGAGGCCGCCGAGCGTGCGTCCTCGTCCCCGCCGTAGCACTGCGGCGTGGCACCGGCGGCGCGTCAGGCGAGGCGGCGACGCACGCGCGGCTCGACACACAACGTGGCAACACGCTAATGGCGGGAGCAACAGCCAGCGCGGATCGGAAGAGGATACACGGAATGCACGCCAGACGCGAACAGGACGGCTGGGAAGCAGTCTCGCCGTAAGAAATGACCGTGACCACGTTCCTACCCCACGCGCCGGTTTACAGGATCGCGTCCCACCGAGCCCCGTCTAGCACAGCCGGCTCCCGCGCCGCTGACGGGGCTGAGGCGCGCCACCCGAGCGCCAGTGTGTCACCTTGGCCGCCGCGGTGGATCGGAACGCCCGCCGGGTCACCGTCTCTGTCTGGTCGGTCACGCAGCCCTGGCGGTCGCGCTCGTACCGCGCGAAGTCGGCCGTGTTGTCCGGCCCGCAGCTAGGCGGCACGACGGCAGCACACAGCCAGTCACGTGAATAGGTGGCGCCACCAACCGTGCAATTACAACACCTTACAGCGGCCACACCACACGCACAAATGATAGGTAAATGACGTTCTAAAGCTCCATATATGCGGCCTATATGCCATATAATGCACCATGTTAGTGTAAGCGTATCACGCATGTATCAACACGGCGCTGTGTGAGTGCAAGACCAAGACTAACATCCGTCAAGGGGACAGAGTCATGTAATCCGCGCAGATGGCAGCACGCACATATTAAAACCGAGTCCTTCGTGCAACAGCGCGAAAAACGATACGGAATGGCGCCATAACGCCACAAAAAGTAGCGAGCAAAAATCCGCCTTTCTTCACTGCATAGCTTCGGCACGCAACGCGAGAAATGAACAAAAGAAGGTATATCACAAATTCGCATGCATAATAGAAAACGTTGACCCTCCATCAAAAAGCATTGCAACGTGTCGGCAGATAACAGCCCACTTCATCACTTCATAAGCGAGCTTCGCTGTTGCTATCACTAATTAATTCCCCGCAATTATCTCCTCTATCGCCTACTGGTGTTAAGCGTCGAGGAAAAAGCATGTGGACGCGTTACAACCAATCAAATCAATTACATCAACCACAATTTCTGGCGCCTGATGCCGCTGCGCACTACATGTGGACGTGGGTGGTGATGGTCATCGCGCCCAGGCGTCCAGCCAGCCTGGCAAACAGAGAGCACACCGGTCACGAAAACACCCCGCACGTGGGCAAATCAACCTCGGAAGCAAAGCAAACTTATTCACGCATGTTGCAAACGAACACAAAAACCAAGCCACGCAAGAATCTTGTAGAAAATCAATGTGCCGTATGTGCCACTAGCCTGCAAAACAAAAGCAAAGAAAGCGGCTGGCGCCTACCGCGTGCAGTGCACGACAGGCCCACGGCGTGCGGCCCGCGCCGACACCAGCGCTCTTACCTGCGCGGGTCCACCTCGATCTTGTACTTGTCAATCTCCAGTTTGTCGTAGTACTTGAATGGCTTGCGGCGACGGAAGCGCAGGAAGGGGCCCCGCTGCGGCATGCGGCCCACCTTGATATCGGGCAGCGGGGCGCCGGCGCGCGTGCAGCCGCCCGTCTGCTTGGCCAGGCTCATCACGCGCTGGATGTTGGCGCCGATGTGGTGGCTCTTGCCCGTGTTCTGCGGACGCGGCGCCAGGACAGTCAGCGCGCGGTCGGCACCGAACGACCGAGACAACTGACTGTCAAGAGGACACCGAGCACCAGCCGCCGGCGTGGCTGGCCGGGATCCACGGCCGCGACAGGCAGCGACGGCGGCGGCCCAGCGGCGCACGCGTGCTCACCGACGAAGAGAGGAAGGGCAGCGGCGCGCGGCCCATCTGGTACTGCCGGTCGCACTGCCGGCTGGTGCGCTGCTCCCGCTCCATGGTGTGCCGCGCCAGCCGCGACGGCGACTCTGAGTCAGAGTCGATGCCCGAGTCGGGGCCGCACTGGCAGACAGAGAGTCAGTTCAGGCTGCGGGCACGCCGGGACACGGCGAACCAGGCGAGACGGGCGCCGACCGGCAGAGCTGAACAGCCACCCGATCATTACAGGACAACCTGCCCACACCAACGCTCCTGACGACAACCTGTGTCGCAATCATCACATATAGCTTCCAGCACCATTCGCGAAGCCGTATGTGGAAAGTGCGTTGCTTAGTCGCAAGTTCCTCGTCCGTATATCACAAACCGCTGGCCGCGGCTTGCTGTTACATGAAAGCGACCGACAGACCCTTACAACATTTCGGATCAATGATACCCTCCACGCACGGTGCAAGCCAGCACAAGCGCTAGTAAGCAGTGGTCATGTTTATTCGCTACTTAAACTGTCCCAAGACCCTTGGCAGCTTCGAAAGATATGACGCCGATGTTCAGTCCTGCCATCCTGCGCACGCACTGAACCGTTCCTCCCAGCAATGCGCCGGCATGTCCAGGAAAACGATCTTTACTGCTGAACTGGAGCCCAGGCCAGCAGCCAGATGGGCGCGACAGTGGCGGCCGCCGCGGACGGCGGGCAGTCGCCGCCAGGTGGCAGACTCACCCGGCGGCCGGCCGACTCGCTGGCGGCGCGGCGGCGCGGCCGGCAGCCCCTAGCACGCGGCGGCGAGCGGCTGGCGCGCGACGCCAGCGACGCGGCGCGAGAGCGCTCGCGCAGCTCCTGCACAGAGCCCGGCACGTCTGCAGGTGCAAGCGCCAGTCAGGCGCGCGGACCAGGAGCTCACACAACTGGCTAACAGGCGGGGCAGAGGCACTGGCCACGCGGCAGAGCACATGCGGCATATGGCCAGGGAATAGGCAACAATCAGCATGGAGGAGGAACGTGACACAACAACCGGAGACTTTGAATAACCGGAGAACTGGGTCGCCATATAGTCCACCACGCGGTCCGATGTCCCCGGCTGCGCCGCGCATGTAGTTACACAGCAACAGAGGGCGAACAGGCGGTCAGTGATCGTGGATCCTCGAACACACAATTACCAAAATGTCCAATAACTATGAACAATTTGATTGTCACTCAAGCGTGTAGCCCCTCAGCGATGTTTGCGGGTACTAAAACAGGTGGGTGGTGGTGGCCAAAATAACCCCCTTCCCCAAAGTACGCCTACCTACTAGCTCGACCGCAAAATTTACACTTCGTCACACGCCACCTGGCCGCGTGTTTTAAAGTTCCAGGGCGTAGAAAAGTCCAGGCCACTGTCGCAGCTTCACAGCCAGCTACGTGAGACAGGGTACCGGCCACATTCAGAGGCGTCGAGCAGGCCACCTACATTTGGAGGCGTTGGCCAGTATGCCGGCGCCGCTACAGCGTGACTTGGAGCGCTGGCGTTTGTCGCACCAGAGGTGGTCGCCGTCGCCGTCCGTCTCGTCGCCGCGGTCGCGGCGGCCGCCCGTCTGCTGGATCAGGCTCTCTGCTCGCAGCCTGACGCCCTCTGCCACACCGCCAGTCGAGTCATGTAGCCGTACAGACGGCCAGTGGACACCCTCTGCCGTACCGCCAGTCGAGTCACGCGGCCGTACAGACGGTCAGTGGACACTCTCTGCCCCACCGCCAGTCAAGTCACGCGGCCGTGCAGACGGTCAGTGGACACCCTCTGCCACACGGCCAGTCGAGCCACGCGGCCGTACAGACGGTCAGTGGACACCCTCTGCCGCGCCGCCAGTCGAGTCACGCGGCCGTACAGACGGCCAGTGGACACCCTCTGCAGCACCGCCAGTCGAGTCACGCGGCCGCACAGACGGCCAGTGGACACTCTCTGCCGCACCGCCAGTCGAGTCACGCGGCCGTACAGACGGCCAGTGGACACCCTCTCCCGCACCGCCAGTCGAGTCACGCGGCCGTACAGACGGTCAGTGGACACCCTCTGCCGCACCGCCAGTCAAGTCACGCGGCCGTACAGACGGTCAGTGGACACCCTCTCCCGCACCGCCAGTCGAGTCACGCGGCCGTACAGACGGCCAGTGGACACCCTCTGCCGCACCGCCAGTCAAGTCACGCGGCCGTACAGACGGTCAGTGGACACCCCCTCCCGCACCGCCAGTCGAGTCACGCGGCCGCACAGACGGCCAGTGGACACTCTCTGCCGCACCGCCAGTCGAGTCACGCGGCCGTACAGACGGTCAGTGGACACCCTCTGCCGCACCGCCAGTCGAGTCACGCGGCCGTACAGACGGTCAGTGGACACCCTCTGCCGCACCGCCCGTCGAGTCACGCGGCCGTACAGACGGCCAGTGGACACCCTCTGCAGCACCGCCAGTCGAGTCACGCGGCCGTACAGACGGTCAGTGGACACCCTCTGCCGCACCGCCAGTCAAGTCACGCGGCCGTACAGACGGCCAGTGGACTACCTCTGCCGCACCGCCAGTCGAGTCACGCGGCCGCACAGACGGCCAGTGCACACCCTCTGCCGCACCGTCAGTCCAGTCACACGGCCGTACAGATGCCCCGACAGCCGTGGTCAGTGGGCACCCTCTGCCGCACCGCCAGTCCAGTCGCGCGGCCCCACAGACAGTCCGCGGCCGTGGTCACAGTCACGCAGTGTCAGTCGGTGGGAGTGGGAGTGAATGAAGTGAGCTAGCATTGTCAGATGTGGGCCATGACGTGGATAGGTCAGTGGGAAGGAAAAGACTTGGTTGCCTCAGATTGATCTGATTTACTACATTCCCTCGGGTTGAGTCCGCACATCTATTGAAAAATGGCGTCGTCAGTCCGTGCCTTCTTTCAACGGGCGTACTTGGAAGGCATCTTATTGCGCGTCTTGAATCACAGGTAAGCAAGCATGGTCTCTCACGTATGTTGAAACAGCGGTAGGGATCAGCCAGAAAAGAAAATGCGAATTGAGACAGCCTACTCAAGACGGCATGTGAAGCCACAAGTGGAAGGTGACTACGCCTGCTATGCAGTGGAACGTCGCATCTGCTGTTTGTACGTCATTAGCATTTCCATTTGCGCCGTCATAAATACTTCATGCCACATCAGGACATGTCGCTGCGGTATTTCACTAGAGCTTGGCACAAAACCTTATCGACATAGCGTTTGCGCCAGTTCATCCTCAGCCACAGGTACTAGCATCTGTCGCCTAGCCCAGTGACTCACGCTTGGTTTGTGACTTGCCGCGGGAGCATGGCGGCTTTCTGGCCGGCGAGCGGGACGTGCAGGGGTTCGAATTGCGCAGAGACGGCGAGGAGCAGTTCTGGCGGCGGCGCGGCGGCGACCGGCTGGCTTGTGGGTGCGTCGAGTTGGACAGCGACCGTCGCCGCTGGATGATGTACTGGAAATCGAGCGAACACCGCAGTGCGTCAGTGGTCATACAAGGCTGCTAGGGCTTAACTGGAGGAAGCGCCACACTCACGGGCACTAACCAGCGGTCGACGAGGTTTCAGTTGACTGGGGGAAACAACAATAGATGGTAATCCATGACAAGACGCATATAGCACAACAAATGTTCCTCAGCACTATTTGGCGGACATGCTGCGGTAGAATATGCAATTTTGCATACTGATGAAATGTGTTTTATACTAAATTAACCGCGCGGTGTTTAAACAGCCGTGATCGATTAAACAGGGCATTTCATCAGGTTCTGAGGTTTCGAAATGCTTCCTAGCAATTCGAACTTCACATAGCCACATAATTGGGCGGAACACATCGTGTCGTTTGGAGTGTAACCAAACTGGCAAGCGTTTCCCAACATGATGCTGCCACGAAACGCCGTCCGTGGCATCAGCATACCACGCCAGCCACATAGCGGGCCGGGGCAGAGCTCCTCAACCTCGTCAGTAAAATGCCAACGCTCTGGTGGTGCTCGAGCTCACGGAAGTCTCTGGCGGGAGCAGCTGGTATAAAAAGCAAAACCAGTAACACGACGCCGGTCCAGTGATCCTATGTTAACATAGCATAATAAGAACACATTCGTGTAAGGATGGTTCTGTGTGAGGTAGACACTTGAATAAACCGCATCGCGGAAGCCCAGCATACCAGAAGCAAATACAGTTGTCATATAAAGGCATGAACGCGATAACTATCTAACGTTGCCACAGGTGACCACGTGATCGAACCTCTGCTGCCAATCTAATATGTCAACACACTAATTACTCCATAGATATAACACTACTAATATGAGCAGATAGCAAATATGTTTAGTGTCCAATTACCTGCTGCACTTTCTTCGGACTGTTACTCTGGCAGGGTGCCGGATTTCGGTTTCTAGGTGTCGTGCTTCGGTTCCGACAGGGTGCCGGGCTTCGGTTCCGACAGGAAGTTGGGCTCCGGTTCCGACAGGGTGCAGGTTTCCGTGCTTGAGCACATCGTTCTGCGTTCGTATACATTTTCTTCATGAAATCCAGCTGATCGTGGAGATTGCTGCATCTCGACTCCGCTACATTCAGCTGGCTCAGGAAGTCTTAAACGCAGAGTATGAGCGATTAGTCCAGTGTGATGCGAGTGCCATCCGAGTGCTACATTCAGCTGACTCAGAAGTCTAAAACACAGAGCATGAGCGATTAATCCAGAGCGATCCGGGTGTCATCAAGATCGCTTTTTCAGTCGCACCTACAGCTCCTTTGAATTGGTGAGATCTGCAGCAAGCCGAGGCGCACTGACTCCCACAGCACGTCACGCTCGACGTTGGACAAGCGTGGCGATCACAGGCGCGAGAGCTGTCAGTTGGTGTCACGCAAATTATGCCAAAAAATGAGCTAATGAAGCCAGACACCTTGTGAACAGCTAATACCATGTGTACCATTTCGCTAATACCATTGCTTGAAAAAAAATGGCTGGCTGGCTGAATGAAGAGAGCTGATGCAGCTCGGGCAGTAATGGCAGCTGCAGTCCATGAAATCATACAGTTTGCAATGTTTCACGGCGTTTGACGGTACCATCAAAGTATTCTGGCCAAACTAAATACCTCCCGTGTCTCAATTTGGCAATGATACGTATTTCACGTTAATCGAATAAGGAAGATGAAATCGTATAGATATTGCGCTATTGCTGAAGCCACCTGATCTAACAGCTTGCATGCAAAAGCTTAACATCTTTCACAGCATGCACGCGTGCCACGGCAGTTGAAACTACCAGAACCCGCAACCGAGAAGTTGCGAAGACATCAGCCTGAAGAAACCGTCACAACCTAGCCGAGCCAGGCAGCTGAAGTTGAAAACATTTGCATAGTTCAAGTAAAACTAACTGGGATTGTGGACTCTGTCACACAAAGGTGTGCACAGAGTGTGTCACCTTGCATTCGATCGTCGTTTTCGTCCTTGCTTTGCAGACATGTAAGAAGCTTATCGCGCTCCTTCAAAGCTCTCGACACTTCCTGTTGAGCATCGTCCTGTGCCGATCGCAGGTCAGAAAGCAGTCCGGAAAGACTGTCAAATCCCTCTGAGATCTCTGAAATAAAGTAAATGATGTGATAATCATATGAAGTAAAATGCTGATATTGGTGGCTTAGGGGGCTTTGGCTACACTGGTCATAGTGCACTCATTCCCAGTCAGAAACAGGCAATGTGATACATGATGTTACATGGAAATGACCATACATTTGACCAGTGGAGACACAACATGAAATCTGGGCACAATACTA